GTGAGAGGTGGCCATGTGGCCACCTTTGTTTTACATGTTTAACCTCTTGACCTGGCTGTTTCCCATTCCATCTGTGGGAAGCCTTGGTTCTTTGCTTGTTCCACCTCTTGTTGGTCGGACGATGACGTTGTTTGGGTCGTTGGGGGTAATGTCAATTGCTTGTGGACTAATTGACTTGTTTGCAGTTGCAGCCCCAGCAATTGTTCATGGATTGTCTTTACTATACTCAATACAGTCCACTTACTGTGGCTGTGGCATTTCTCCTCGGACAGCGACAAAAATGATCCGAGGGCTGGAGCAGCTCTGCTGTGAGGACAGGCTGAAGGAGTTGGGCTTGTTCAGCCTGCAGAAGAGGAGGCTCCAGGGCAACCTTATAACAACCTTCCAGTACCTGAAAGGGGCCTAGAAGAAAGCATTGGAGGGTCTATTCACAAGGGTTTTGAGTGACAAGACAAGGGGTAATGGCTTTAAGCTAGAAAAGGGCAGACTTAGGTTAGATGTTAATATGAGGGTGGTCAATCCCTGGAATATGTTGCCCAGACAGGTGGTGGAGGCCCCATCCTTTGAGACATTCAAGGTCAGGCTTGATGGGGCCCTGAGCAGCCTGACCCAGTTGGAGATGTCCCTGCTTATGGCAGGGGAGTTGGACTAGATGACCTTTAGAGGTCCCTGCCAACCCAACACATTCTATGGTTCTTTCAATAACACAAAATAGTGCCAGGTAAAATATGCAGATAAACACAATGCACCATTGTGGCTGAATTCAGACTCCACTGCTGAAGCTGGAGCTCCTCAGCATTTATCTTCCAAAGGTGCCCTCCTCAGTAGAGGAAGGACTGCTCTTCGTCTCAGTGAGGAACCAGAAAAGGAAAAATTCAGTGGCCTGCTAAAGACCTCATCCTGTTTTAGAAACCAGGTGCCGCACTTGCACACAAGACCACCCACCTTCTTCATGGAGGACTGAATACAGAGGCTCCTGGGCACTGATCTCAATTAAGCTTCAAGTGGAGTCAATCTGTTCTGGACTAGAGTTGGGGACAGACCAGACTGCAATGGATCTATCCTCAAAAGACACAGAATATACCTGCACTTGATCATGAAGAGCCCTTTCCAAACATGGACTGTGCTTAAACAACCAATACTACCACAAAAACCCACCAATGAGTAAGGAGAAATACAAGCTACTCACCTGAGAGAACGTAATGCTTTCAAATTTGGGAGGAACTGAAACAGCTGCAAAAGTCCCTTGTCACCCAGATAATTATTTGATAGGCTAGGATTTAAAGAAAGGCATTTAATTTTCATAGCAAACAAAACCAAAAGGCACAATCAGCTCTTAGCAGCTAGAGCTCTGAAAGCAGAACACGGGCACCCTAATCAAAACAATACAAGCACTGCCCCTCTCCACTGACAGCTAAAGCCTGCGAAGAAACCAGAGACTGGACTTAACACAGGACAGCCAAAAACGTATCTCAGGGCTCATCCTGTTCTCATGTCCACCAAGTGACCCCTCTGGACTGACAGTGCTTTTTAACGCAGTTACCAGGATCCAGAAGTCCACAGGTCTGAGAAATGACCAGTGTGGTCTGGCCCAACAAAGGAGCCACAGGTCAGTCCTGGAGAAGGATATTAGGATCTGATATTCGAGCCTAAGAGTTACACTGGGGTAAGGCCCATGGGAGACTGAGACATGATTAAGAAGAGCAAAGGCTAAAGGTCTCTTCCACAGGCTGCCAAGCTTAAGGGAATAGCCATCCCTTGCATGGTGGTATGCAGAGTACATGCCTGTGTTGGTCCTTGTTCTGTCTTCAAAACCCAGACATGAGGGTGTGTTGACCAGCCTTTCCACCAGCACTGGGTCTGCTCACCTCTCAGGGTTAGCAAACAGGATGACTCCCCACAGGCAACACTAACAGAAGAAAGTGCTTTGGTGCTGAAGGTCCTTGCACACCATCTGTGGGATCACCAGCAAAATGCAGGCTCCCTCCTTTGATTTGGGTGTGATTCTTCAGCCTCTGCAGCTTTGCTCCCAAATGGCCCAAAGGCAAAAATGACAGGGCAAGGTTTTTTACTGCTTTTGCAATATCTGAAGTCAGGCTAAGCAATCAAACAGCTCCCTTCTAGATTGATGTCCTGCAGCCTTTGCCCTAAGAGAGCACTAGAACTGTATCTCTCTTGGCAAAGGATATTAGCCCACGTAAAACTCTGCCTTTCAGAAGGCCGTGTCTCTACCACACTCTCCATACAATGCTGCAGACAAACATTTTCTCAATATCCCAAAGAACTGCAGATAAAGACCATAAGTGAAGGACTCACTCCAGCTCAGAGATGCTGCTACATTCCTTCAGGACTGCACACAGCTTCTCCAGGTCGCTGGCTTGAAAATGACTGTCTGTCACTCTAGGGGGGAAAAGAAATCAATAGTGCAGATCTGCAGGGTTGCAAACAAGATTGCAAACTTCAATTTTTCAGAAAACCAGAGAATTAATGACAATATAATAATGAAATAAAAAATTCCCTTCAAATATCTTTTGCTTTTTATTTTTTTTTTTGTTGTTGTCTGGAACAAGTAACCATCTGTACTTTCAGCTCTTGTCTGCAAAAAGAGAATAAAGAGTTCAGGTAGAGAAAACTTAAGAGCACAACAAAGAACCAGGTCCCTAAGGTCCTGGTTAGAAGGCTTTAGACACAACTTCTGCCTTCCTCACTGCAGCCTGCAAAAGAGACTGGCGTGCTCTGTGCTGGGGTAAGGGCATGGTTTGATATGCATCTGAACGCAGGTCCACCTTAGAATGTGTTTCTCCAGGTCCTTCTAAAGAAACCCCCAACACCACGAGCTCTGCCACTGCTGGGAGCCGATGCAGTTACCCCACAATCCCCACAACCACTCTGTAAGATACACAACCCACCACCTATTTTGGCTCCTGTAGAAGACCACAGACTCTAACCACAGAGCTTCTAGAGATGTAAGCTGGGACTGTGAACACAGTGACAAATGACTGACTGGCAGAGTCTTTACCAGCTCTCCTCTGATTCACCTTGGAGATGCAGGTTCCAGGATCAGCTGTAGGATCCAGAGATAGGACATGCATTAAAGACAATGAAAATCTGCCATCATACCTTATTTTTTTTGAAGCAGTAGGTGTCTGGTTTTCCTCTGCATATTGTTGGTCATCAGTAGAGAACACAGGCTCTTCGCTAGAAAGCAGGCACAAAAGCAGACAAGGGTAAAACACTTCCACTTCAGCAATTTGGCAGGTCCCTGGGGCTACCCTGGCTCTAGCCCACACCCATATCCTGCCAATAGCAAGGTCTTTTTTCTTTCAGTGATTAACCAGATACTTGAGCACACAGGCAACTGAGGAGAACGGGTAAAGACCTAAGCGATAGTTTGATGGAGAATTAATGTCTTGCCTAAACATGTTTTGTGAAAAGAGTGCTCAAAGTCTGTGCTCAAAACTGACTATTCATAAATAAATGGAACATTCAGATCCTAAAATATGCAAGTTTAGAATGTTGCTTGGTGCCTTAAAGGAGTGATTTCTTGATTGTGTGCCTCAAGCTGTCACTCTCAAGCATAGCCACAACTTGGTTGCATCCCATAATAGCCCTGCTGGTGCTCCCCAGCGAAGAGGTGCGATGCAGGTGTGGGAAATGATATTTTACAGTGGGCTCAGTCCATGGAGAACAAGGACATAAAAGAACCTAGAGCTCCAGGAGCAACAGGAAATCATTTCTCAAACAAAACCTTTGGGTTGAGCTGGTTTATCAGGGGAAAATTTTGTCACGGAAAAAATAAAACTCCCAATTAATTTTGATTTAAGAGTACCATGATCCAGAGTACATAGTATAGTGAACTAGATGGTTTTAAACATGCAGGGATCTGCGAACCTTTTTGGAATTTGGTTTGTGGGTGTGGGGTTCACTGGGTTTTCTTACTGTCCCCTGTTATCAGAGTACTATTTTTAGATTCAGAGGGGAGGAGGGCAAGATCTTCTGTGAGATGAAGTGTCACACTTGGTACCTCGACAGGATATAAGAACTAAATGGGATGTTGAGAAAACCCCATTTGTGCACACATGCTACCTAGGAGGAAGGGAAGCATCCTCTCTGTCTTCTGAAAACCTCAGGACTGCAGTCTCACGACCAAGGCTGTGAAGAAGAAATGGAAGCAATAGGTATCACATTTTGATTATTTAGAGGACTTGTTTTAAGAATACTTGGCTTTGCCCTGCAAAACTCTTTTATGACACCAATCACTTAAAACACTCTCAAAGCAAGCAAAAACAATCTCCATCAGTTTTAAATCCTGGTTGGATCAAACTATGCAGTATCAGATGACCCAGTTTCTCTGGACCATTAGAGAAAGTGCAGACAAAATCATTACACCTGAACTCCAAGGGGTTTACAAAGGAAAGTAACAGGGAAGAACTTTCAACTCCACTCCAGGAGATGTCACTAGTTCTCACAGTCCACAGAGATTCTCCCTCCAAAACTTCTCGGAGCAGAAAGCAGGAAAAAGTCTAAAACTGCCTCTGTGTAGGAAAGGACACACAGTTCTGCACCTTCTCAAATTCTGGTTGATAACTCAAATAAAACCAGCTCACAACAATGTATTACCAAGTGTCAGTGTTAGCAGTCCTCTTTGGATGTGTTCCTCACCTGCCCCACTTCAGAGGTGACTCAAAATTCTCAGAACCTAACTCTCAAATGTGTATATTGGGATTAACTTTAGGAATGATTCAAGACCTACATACCTGACTTGTACTTCCATCACCTTCTGGTAGGTATTTACTGACTTCAACAGGCTGCAAACACCATCAATAGACATGTGGTTTTGACTGAGACTAAGAAAGATAAAAAAGGCAATTAGCTGGTCACTGAAATCACACAGGTCTGTCCTAGTAGAAGGAGGCATCAGTGTGCTGCATGCTTGAACCCGTTCCACTTCAGAAGCGGCATGGTGGAAAACACCCAGGACTGCTATCCCAAGGAAGAGCCTTTATTGAAAGGGCACTTCACCACTTCAGGTGCATTTAGACCAGCCTCTGATGCTGGTGATGCTCTGAGCAAGTGACCAACTTCAGCCTGAACAGTCTCATGGGCTGAATCTCATCCTTCATTGCGAGTGCTCAGAGCTGTAGCACTGGTCTGGGTGAGGCCTTTGTCTCCTGGATCCCAGCTCAGTGTTTCCATACAGTCTTTGCCAGGCTCGAGAAAAGAGGGAAGTTTGGGGTTGTACAAGGCAACACTTACTCCAGCTGCTTTGAAATTGATATCCGAGGGAGACTTTCCAGCAGGTAACTGCAGCCTTCATCTCCAAGCTTGTTACCTGATAAACTGAGGCATTTTCCAGTTAGTATGGACTGTTTTGAACAGTATAAACAACAAAGCCCCCAATATCTGCTTGCTTTCCTTTTCCTCCAATTGCTTTTTTGCCCAGACTGTTCTTCTGTCCCAGATCAATCTTCCCTGATTATCTCTGCATGGAGCAACTTCAACGTTTTATCCCTAGGGCAACACAATTAATCCTTTAGCCCCCAACACATCTTACTTTAGAAAAAGAAGTGGGAATACAAAACAAGTCGTGAGCAGGGTCTGCTTTGTAAGGGGCATTGTGGTTACAGTCCCAGGAGGCTTCAGTCATCACAGGAACTGAAGGTTGCTCAGCATTCATGAACCTCACCAAAAATCCCTCACCAGGATCCCACCAGACATAACACAGAGTGCTGGGACACTTCCTTGGGGTCAGGCACCATGTCTCACTGCCCTCTACATGTGACATCCCCTGCCCCATGCAACTGGCCTGCAGCCACTCGCTGGGAAGGAAAGGAGGCACTTACTCCACCTCGGAGAGACAGGGAGAGCTCTGGAGAATGTCAACGACCTCCTCTGCATGCTGGGAAGACAGGCTGCGATTCTGCAAGCTGGTAACAGGAAGGATTAATGAGCAGTTAGGGGACGGTGGGGCCCAGGCAATTCTGGTGTCTGAGAGTGCACAGAAGCAGCACCAAGACAGGGAGCTGTCACTCTCTGCTCTGACACACAATCCTGGGCACACGCCTCTGCCTCTCTGTAGCCACTCTGCCACAGAAGGCAGGAAGAGGGACGCCCCAGCAAAGTGCTGTGCAAGCACAATGCTTTGTGCCAGAGCTGCCTGGCACTGCCATCCACAAGAGAAGGATGGACGTGATTGTTTTAAAGAGGAGGAGGTCAGGCAGGGACATTCCCCAGCTTTAACATGCTCAGATAAAAGGCCTGAGTCCTATTCTCAGAAAGCCACTACTCTATTCCAGAGCACAGGCAAGAAAGAAAACTATATGGCTCATGCCTTTGGTACCTATAGAACATATGGCAAGATGGGGAACTCAGCCTCTCCAGGGCTGTAGAGCCAAATACACAAGAAATAAAGCCACTGGCTGGGCTAGATAGGGATTTCTATTGCTGTTTTTATTTACTGATTCAGGCTTATTTGAAACTTTGCCATATGTGGAAATATCCTCTGTTCTTAAGGACCAACAGAGCTATTCTCGTCCTTCTGTAGCAGCTGTTATCTGCAAATCACATTCACCAGCAGGGTCAATGTATTCTCTTACCATAACTTCACAAATCTCGTTGGAGCTATATGTTCCTTATTCTCCTCCCACCTCAAATCCAAAGACCTGCAAACAAGCAAAATATTTGGCCATTAATGTGCCTTCACAAACAAGCGGACCAGGGAGCTGGTTAGGATTTTCAGGAAGTTTTCTGGAAGAAACCACAAGTTTCTTGCAAAATATTGTGAGGTTCCTCAAGGACTGCGCGACACAGGGCAAAGTGAGGTTTTGGTTATTTTATCAGGGAACAAGAGAGTGGTTCATATGTTCATAATTAAGGTCAAATTCATCCTTCCCTCAAAAGATTCACAAGCAGAGAGAACATAGACACCAATCAGAGAAGGAGCAAAGGCTTTTCTATCACTTTTCCTTATGTTCAACAGGTTTTCAGCAATTTTGCAATAGAAATACAGCACTTCGACCTTCCACAGGCATGAAGGTGCTACCTTGGTGGAACTGGTCTGTGCCAAGACCAGCTGTTTTGCTTACGTTTCTCCTTGCTCAGGTGGATTCAGCTCAACCAGATGCAAAAGAAAGTGGCAAGCAGGTCTGTTGCTAGAGTGGTTTATAATGACAGTTTAAGCGGATGGTTGCATCACCACAACTCTGACCATAGCACAACCCCAAGTGCAGTTTCTCACCTTGGAACTTTCCCAGAAGGTTGAGAAAAATATATAATCACAGTGTCCTTCCTGAAAAAGAGATAGAATCCTAGAATCATTATGGTTGGAAAAGACCTCCAAGATCATCAAGTCCAACCATCAATCCAACACTACCGTGACCACTAAACCATGGCCCCAAGTGCCATGTCTCCGTGTTTTTTGAACCCCTCCAGGGATGGGGACTCCAGCACCTCCCTGGGCAACCTGGGCCAAGGCCTCACCACTCTGTCAGGAAAGAAATTCTTCCTCATATCCAATCAAACCCTCCCCTGGTGCAATTTAACCCCATTTTCTTTCATTCTAGTGCTAGTTACTTGTGAGAAGAGACCAACCCCCACCTCGCTCCAACCTCCTGTCAGGGAGTTGTAGAGAGCCAGAAAGTCTCCCCTCAGCCTCCTCTTCTCCAGACTAAACACCCCCAGGTCCCTCAGCCACTCCTCACAAGCCATGTTCCCCAGAGCCTTCACCAGCTTCGTTGCCCTTCTCTAGACCCACTCCAGCCTCTCAAGGTCTTTCTCATCCTGTGGTGCCCAAACCTGACCCCAGTGCTGAAGCTGTGACCTCCCCAGTGCCCAGTCCAGGGTCATGATCACTCCCCTACTCCTGCTGGACACACTATTTTTGATCCATGCCAGGATGCTGGTGGCCTTCTTGGCCACCTGGGCACACTGCTGGCTCATGGCAAGCTGTCCGGCCACCAGCACCCCCAGGGACCTTTCTGCCAGACAGTTTCCAGTCACTTTTTCCCTGGAGCGTTGCCTGGGCTTGTTGTGACCCAGGTGCTGGACCCAGGACTTGGCCTTGCTAAACCTCACACAGTTGACCTCAGCCCGTCGATCCAACCTGTCCAGATCCCTCTGCAGAGCCTCAGTGACAGCACACAGGTGGAACCATGCCAAGGGGTAAGGGCCAAAGCAGCTGCCTGCATCCTAAAGAGGGTCTGGACATCTTCCACGCTAGCACACACTGCAACAGGCAAGCAACCTATAGCCATGTGGCTAGAGAGCAGCAGAACACCCCGCATGGAACTGGGGCTGAAGGACAGACGCGACAGTGACATTGTTAAGAAGACTGGGCGGCTATTTTTTTTTATTTCCCCCCCCCAAGACTAGTGGTTTGCTGAAAGATATTCAGTAGAAAACTCCATTCCAGCAAGAAAAGTAAGAAAAATCTGTCTGCAATCTGACTTGCCTTGAGCTACACCAAGGGTTAATCTGGCTTGTTAAATTTACAACATAAGACTACCATAAAGGGTAGGATTTAAAAATTCTACCATTCTCTGTCATCCTGGGCCTGTGAAAACACCAAAAACTGTAGTGCTAGAGCTACTTCAGTCCACATCTTTTCACTAAACTTAGTTGATTTATAGCAAATTTATGCTAGCTGGTAAAGAATTTCCTGGCTGATACACTGCAGAGCTTAAAAGCAATTTTGCGTTCTGTCATATTAAGAAGAAATATTACAATCTGCAAATCGATTTATGGACCAAGGATAAAATGACCTATTAAAGAAAAATACAGAGAGAAAGTCCATAATATGCTAAATTCAAATTTTGTTTCAAAGAGAAAACAAAAAGTTTTATTATTATCTTCTGTTGCCTTCTATTAGACAACAATTAAGCCGTAAACCAGTGTCCACTTAAGAAGTCAGCACCTAAAGAGCCAATATATTTGCTTTAGGAGCAGTTCTCAAGCATTGATACCTGACATGCAGTTCAGCAGCTCTCTGACACGCGAGGACTTCCCTTGCCAGAATGAGAACAGCATTCAAGGAAAGATGGTTGTTGCTCAGGCTGTGAAGATGAGAAATAACACCACCTCAGCTGCTGGACCCACCAGTAGGCTCTTTTGTTATGCAGATGCCCTCTGCTCTGCACCCAAAACACCCTGAAGCACACATTCTTTTAGTTAGAGGATTTCTTCAGAGTTTTGCATTTAGGACCCAACAAAAGCACTATCAGAGCACAGCTCTCTTTCCCATGAGTTTAGATTCAGAGATACTTCCTCTATGTGCAGCCAAAGAATTATTAACCATTTTGGGATTAGGCAGGGAATGTATTTTAGGATTACACAACTGACCCACAGTGCAGTTAAACTCTTGCTATAACAAATCCCATTTAAATATGGCGTATTAAATTAATGTGGTCTAAACTCTCACATTTAAAGCATCCCCAAAGACACAATACTAGCAATTCTTTAATTGCACGTTTATTGTGCTTCATGACTTGTTGACGGTCATTAAATATGAAACATATGGTGTTGCCTCCACAAATCCTCTGCTTGTTCTCAGGGCTGCAGAGCATCATTCCTGTGAGCCTCAAAGGTGAGGAGGCAGAAGAAGAAAAAGTCATGCCAGGCACCAAGTTGAGCACATCCTGGAGAGCTAACTCCTGGAGAGGTGCCAGTGGTGCCAGGACTCCCTTAAAATTATTTTAAAACACCTGGGTAAGAACTGTGAGGCTGAATTTATCTCAACCTGAGCACAGCCGTCTGTGCCTCAGCTTGGTGCCTCACGGTACATGTTCCCCACTGGCATCTCTAAGAGCAAACATCACCCCTTGCAGAGACATCCAGCAACTCTACTCTGATGAGGATTTAAACTCTCTCTGATGGATGCTTATGCTTGGTTCCGTAGTGGCTACCATTTTGAACAGGTTTAAGTAATTTTTACTCACTCTATTTTCTTCAGCTTTTTCATTCTGGAAAACAGATCCATCATCTTCTTCAAGTCTGGATGCCGTATGCGATTGTCCTGCAAGCTGCACAAAGATTTAGTCTCATTAGTGTTAGACCCCAAAGGAATGAGTGGTTGATTTGAGGGTCGTTCCCACAATACACTCACTTTATTTCCTCAAGTTGGAGGTACTGTGATGAAGCTTGGACCAAGTCAGCCATCCCCTCAGCTGTGATGCTCCCACCTGTCAACCTGGAAAAAAAAAACTCTTTCAAACCTAGCAGAAGGAAGAAGCTTTGAGTGAACTGATGTCATTAAACTGCAGCATAAATACAGGACAGACAGAAAGACAGAAGACTCTGACCTTACAAGCAAAAACTTACTCTAGTTTCTTCAGGCTCCCCATTCCTCCTATGCTCTTTGAAAGAGCAGCAGCAAAGTCATCGCCGTATCTCCTACTGCGAAAGCTAAACGCGAAGAAAAGGAAAAAACATAAACACAGCCAAACCCAGAATATGCCAGCCCACAGAGCAGATTAACAAGTGCCGAACTTCTTTCTTAACAGCTATTGTCTCATGCTCTTTTTTGTAGCATCTTTATCTTTTCAAACATTTATTTTAAAACAAACACATTAAACTTGCACATCAACTGCAAACACCTGGAGAAACACCTTCTGCCTTTTGGTACAGTGCTCTGCAGATGAAGAGTCACCCCTGCTGCATGTCCCATCAGAGTCAGGACCCTGAAGACACGGGAGGTCACACAGGAGCAAATCAAACTCATGCAGAGAATGTCCAACAGCTCCTGCGTGATGAGTTGCTGAGTTACATGATGATTGATTTCAGGCCAGATACTTTAAATTTGGGTGGCAGGCTAGCCAGAGTTGTCCAAAATACAGAAGTCAAGGATTTTAGGGAAAGTACCTCTTTTATAGAAGGAACTGGTGGTGTTGGAAAAGCAAACAGATATACAGGCAAGGTTTCAGACACACGAGCTCTCCTCTGAATCATTTCCAGAATGTACTGATTAGGGGATGTATTGGTAGCAAGCACCCTGGGCTGCACATCTCCCACAGTGTGTCAGGGGGCCACGAGAGCAGAACCTCACCTATGACCCTGTTGACCTACGTGCCTCCACCACCCTCCCCTAAACCAGTCAGGAACAGGATGCAGAGGTGTGGTAGCATGACAGACACGGCCCATGGCCATCAAGAACATGCCTGAGGCAATGCTTCTTCAGACAGGTTCTGTCTGAGCACTGTGCAGCTGAAAAGCTTGGGCTCCTGCAGCCTTCTGCCCATCCTTCCCAGCGACAGGGCTACTGCATAGTGCCAGGAGCCTGCAGACCATAAACGAAAGTAGGTACAGACCTGACTGTGTAAGAGCTGAGGAAGAACCCCCCAAAAAAGCCTGTTACATTCTCCTAATGCAAGAGAACAGAACAGCCCAACCATCCCAGGCATCTGCCTAAACTGCTCTTTGAAAGCAGAGGACTCCATGCATGGGCCTGTACTTGCATAAATCAGAAAGCTTTTCTAACAGTAAATTAAATGGTTCTTGTTCCTGTTCTTCTTAATGGAGACTGAGAACAATCAATTACTGTCCTTTTAACAATGACAACAATATCCAGGAACAGCAGTTTTCACATCTCTGTTTCTGCTCTGCTGCTTCACAGCAAACTTCATTCCCTACAGGTCAAGGTAATTCTCACCCTTGGCTGCTCACCATCTTCCCAATCACATTAACAAACTACATATATTCCTCTAAGTCATTCACAGAAACAAAGAATGAGACTTCTTCCTCAACAGGATCCCACAAGATCCCTCTTGCAAAGTCCCTCCAGCATTCCATCAAGGCACGGAGAGAACGCCTCAGAGTGCAGTTGTCACCTCCTGCTCATCTGGTTTATGGTGATTTCACTTAGATCACAACTTTCTCATTTGCTTGCAGGTTTCATCCTGCCTTTGTATTCCCAGGAAATGTCTATCATCTTCTCTCCCATCTGCTACACTAACTACCCTCCTGTTTTAATCAAAGCAAAGAAACATACACAAAATATTGCCAGAATGGATTTAGCACCTTCATATCCTTCAAGGACTCTTAAATTCATTATTTGATAAATTTGGTATCAAAGTTATGCTGTTCAGATCAGAACTTCTCACATCTTCTGTCTCTCCCTTCTAAAGCAAACACTAGGCTTGCCCTTCTAACTCCTTAGCCCTCCTCTCCACCCACCAGCTCAGTGTGTTTACCTCAAGTGCTCTACGTTTTTACAGCCAGCGAGAACCTCCAAACAGTCAATGTTCATGAGACATCCTGAAAAATCCAAATGAGTAAAATCCTGGCCCGAGTTGATGACAAAAACCAAAGCCGACATGTCCAGAGGTGTCAGTCTAAAGTTTTTAAACTCGTACTTGAAACTCAGCAGGCTCCCGATATGCTGGGCTACTTCCAGGTCTTGTGTTTCCAATGTGCAGTGGCAGAGCTCAATGACCTTAGGCCCTGTCAGTTGAGTGGCTGCCAGTCTCTTGAGAGACTGCAGGATTGTGTCCTGCTTGTCCCAGACCCAAGCTTCATCTTTTTCAGCCAACAGCATGAGAAATGTCCTACATTCTTTGGATGACAAGCCTGAGAGAAAGATGTGAAAGCTCTCCAGGAATTCGGTCTTTGCCTCATTTCTTAAAGTCCACTTTGTCTTCAAAGAGAACTTCTTCTTCAGGTAGTTCTTGTCCATGCTCTTTCTTACCATGAGACACAGTGCTGCAAAAAACTCCTGCAAACTCAAGTGCACAAAGGCATAGCCAGCCTCTGGGCAAGTGCCATTCGTCTTCACCTCAAAGACAGTCAGCAGTCCATGTAAGGAAGCAAATTCCTTCACATGTTCTGGAATATCACTAGCATAAAATACAAGCTTCTTCTCTTCCAGGCCTTTCAGTGCAAGATCACACAGACCCAAAAGAGCCTTCTTGTTAGAGTTCAACTGAGTCTCCTCGCCACCTGCACACTCTCCCTGCTGTTTGTTTATGAAGATGAGGAGCATTTTGATATAAAACTGTGTCATAGTCTGAGGAAGTTCCACACTCACCTGATGTTTAAGGAGCAAATACTCCAAACAGACGCACACAACATAACACAGAGCAGGGATGAGGCACATGCTGAAGAGTTTGGTGTTGTTTTTCACGTGAGCAATGGCTTGTTCTTTGAACGAATGCTGATGAAAATAGTGGCTGATGTATTCCTCCACCTTTTCATGGTCAAATCCCCAAATTTCTGCTAGCAGATCTACTGTGCTTAATAAGAAGTCAGGTAGTCTCTTAGATCGGCTGGTGACCAACACTGTGCAGCCACGCAGGAGCCTCCCATTGCAGAGGTCTGCAAAGAGCTCAGAGACAGACACACGGGAGGTAAGAGCTGGGCCTCCCTTAGAAGAGGATGACACATCCATGTTAGCTGCAAACTCATCCAGCCCATCAAAGATGATCAGTGTGTGCGACGCGTTTTCCAGGAGGTACTGGAACACTGCGTCAGGGCTGTCTTCTGGCTGAAGGAACAGGTCAAACAAAAGCTCTTTGAGAGTTAATTTTCTTTTTAATAAATTCAGCTGCCGAAACTCAAACAGGAAAGTGAAGAAAAACTGAGGTATGACACCTTCTGCCCATTTCTGACAAATCCTGTGCATTAGCATGGTCTTGCCTGTACCTGGCTTACCAAACAAAAAGATCACCCTTGTCTTCCCCGAAGGGACCGTGCTACAGAACAGATCTGACACTTTCATGGCTGTATCCACACATTCTTCTGGTTCAGGAGCACCTGCCACACCCTCCTGGGGTTTATCTGTTCTGTCTTTTAAGCGGGAGGCTTTGCTCTGCTGAATGACAAGGTTGACAAAGGCTTGCTTGAAAGGCAGTGGCTGCATTTGTTCCTCTGCTGCTGCTCCTGCTGTTCTCTTGCTTCCATATCTCTGGTGGATAGAATTGATGAGGAGATGCCGGTAGTTTTCAGGTGCATCTGAGAGAAGACAACAGAGCGAGTATGAGGGTGAAAAAGTTATTTCTGAGCTGTGGCAGATCCAGAATATCACCCCTTAGACAGAGAAACAATGGTCCTGACAAAAGGCTGCTCCACAGAGCTAATTAAAGAGGACAAATTTTGAACACATGAAAATAATACATAATTTTTCCTATATTTGCACAGTGGTTGAAGAAGAAAATTCAGGGAAAGGGTGAAAAAGCTTTAGATAAAAACTAAATCCTATTATCTCCTCAAGATGAGAACAAGGTACTGGTGCATTATCATGGAATCCCAGCATGGTGGGGCTGGAAGGGACCTCTGGACATCATCACATCCAACCCCCCTACCAACGCTGGTCCACACAGAGCACAGAAATGCATCCAGGCAGGTTTGGAATCTCTCCAGAGAAGGAGACTCCACAACCTCTCCGAGCAGCCTGCTCCTGAGGTTCTGACACCCTCACAGGAAATTTCTTCCTAACGTTGAGGTGTGACTTCCTTTGTTCTAGCTTGTGCCCGTTGCTCCTTGTCCTACCACTGGGCACCACTGAAAAGAGACCGGACCCATTATCTTGACACCCATCCTTTATTTATAAACACCGATCAGATTCCCTCTCAAGCCTTCTCTTCTCCAGCCTAAACAGCCCCAAGTCTCTCAGCCTTTCCTCATATGAGACACATTCCAGTCTCTTAATCATCCTTGTAGCCCTCCACTGGATTCTCTCCAGTAGTTCCCTCTCTCACTGAGAAGCCCAGAACGGGACAAAGTACTCCAGAGTTGGCCTCACCAGGGGAGAGTAGAGGGGGAGGAGAACCTCCTTCAACCTGCTGGCCACACTCTTCTGAATGCTCCCCAGGAGACCACTGGTCATCTGGGCCACGAGGGCCCATTGCTGGCTCATGGGCAACTTGTTGTCCACCAGGACTCCCGAGTCCTTCTCCTTAAAGTTGCTTACCAGTAAGTCAGCTTCTAACTTGTACTGGTGCATGGGGTTATTCCTCCCCAAGTACAGGACTCTACACTGGTCCTTGTTGAATTTCATCACATTCCTCTCCACCCAGCTCTCCAGGCTGTCCATGATATGCATAGTATTATATAGATAAGTCCCTATTCACTAGCTCCCTGTTCACCCGTGCTCACCTGGTGTCACACTGGCTCAGCAACCTACACCTCAGAACAGAGCTTTTGCTCTGAGAATCTGAGGCCCCTGATGGTATCACCATCTCTGCTGAGGAAAGAACAGTGGTGACAATTGAGGGCACTGAGCACCTTCTGCAAAACCCTGTCCTCACTGCTGTTATGTTTGTTGAGTTTTGTCAACAAATGAAAACTCAAGAAGTTTCCCATCTGCAAACTTTCAATCAAAAACCAGCTCCCACCCAGCTGTAGCTGCCAGCTCTGCCATGCTCACCAACACACGCTGGGCAGCGCTGCACAGTGAGGACTGCAAAGCTAAAAGCAGAGGTTAAAAAGGGTAAAGAAGGGCCGATGACAAAGAAGAGGATGTGAACACTGGTGTTATAGAGCCCACATGTCTGCTCAGGCTGCCTAGTCTTTCCTGGAATCACTCTGGCTTGACTTTGTCATCCCTCACCTATCATCAGTTGCTTCTCTCTTTTAGAGTGAGCTGAAATCATATGAGCTTTTCATGTGCTAGAGAGACTGAGGAGTCTTCAGGAGGTTTTAAATTGTCAGCATGTCTCCTAAGTTGGTACAAAAAAGCAAACAAATACAGGGATGACCTACAACTCTATCATAATTTATGGAATTCTTTGCCTAAGCCACCTGCACCCCTTCTCCTCAGGTAGATTTCATCTATCACTGAAATGGAAATGGATGTTTCTTTTTACTTGCCAGGTCCCATGGTCTGTATATTTTGTAACTTGTTGTATTAAAAGTTTATGCAATCACCAATCAAAAGTTTCCCTCAATTCAGGGGGTTGATTTCCTGGGTACTTCTGCAAAGAAGTCAAATGAGTCCCTCCTCAGAGGAAGGCACAGCACCACTCTGCTATGGAACATCTACATACCCAGTCGCTGCTGTTTCGCCTCCTTATCACTCACAGAGCTGCTGAGATGCCGACGTCGAGCAAACCCTGAAAATCAAAGTCAGAAACATGGCACAAGAGCATCTTGAATGGCAGCTTATTAAAGCTGGGCAAGACTCTCCAGCAAAGCATTTGGGGTGCTGAAGAGGCAAAATTGGAGAGACAAAACTATTTGCAAATTGATGCCGAGTTGATGGAACCACTTTTGCAAATGTTGAAGTAAAAGCAAAGGTGCATCTAGCTACAGTAAGATCGCTTGGGCTGGTCCTCATGAGGTTAATCCACTCTCTTGTCCCACCCCAAATATGCTACAGCTCTCAGGAATGACCAAGGGGACTGGGCTGCCTAAAAACATTCAGTAATGGAGTCCCCTGAGCATCTCCAGGCAATTCATTCCAACGCTTCGGTTTATGTATAGAGATTTTCATAGTGCAATCTGCTGCCTCCCTGTTCTATCCAACTGAGTGGTTTTGCAGGGAAGCCAAGCAAGTCTGTGCTCTTCCCTGGGACACATGATCAGCGGCAAGGACTCAAATTTTATCTAATACTGCAATATGACTTTGCACTTCACAGAGCTATTACTATCCAAATCTTACCATTCTCAGCCTAAAGTAGCTGAACATCAGAAACAGGGAGGTACAAGCTGCTGGTGGAAGCCTTGCTTTGAAAATCTTAGCAGGAAACAACATGGATTTTAAAAGGCATGCTTGTGTTAGATTTAGCAAACAATGCTTCCACCTTTTTGCTCAACCCCCTCATCTGCTTAGAAGCACGGTGCTAAGTAGTGCCAGAACCTTAGCAAAAACCTACCACAACAGCCCATCAAAAAGCAGCCTAGGAAATGACACTACTGACAGCAGAGCTTCTGGAAAGCAAAGAAACGAGGTAGGTGCAAGTCTGGGTTCAGAGGAGCATAGAGAAGTCGACAGAGCATTAAGGGCTACAGACAGCCCAGTCACAGACACCACGAGCACCGCAAAGTTATGCTGGGCATGGAAGAAGCTGTTCTGAGCATACAAAAGAAGCCTGGCAGTTTCGAGACAGAGACTAGACCAAACATCAGTACCACATATCCCAGTTACACACTGCAGCAAAGCCCATAGCCTGTGTGATGGACCTGAAAGAAAGCAGGAGCAGGAAGAACCAATGACTAGACGTATCTCAGCTCCACAGCAAGTTTTTTCGTGAGCAAAGCCAGCTGCCAGATCAGTCTCCCCAAGCTCAGCTGGCCAGGGAGCACAAACAGAAGAAGATACATACACGGTTGTGAAAAGCTGAAACCACAAAACTGACCACAACCACCTCACTGGTGAGTCTTCTTGTAGGCTGCGTGATGCACCTGCCCCACTTTGAGCACAGGAGCTGCTCTGTTATCCTGGGGAACCGGACAGGGAACAGCTATGAGGAACACACAGCTCACAGATTCCCTGGGCTGTTTATGGTGATGAATTCCATGTTTGATTCTGGTGCACTCCCAGAGAGAGTAAATGAGCAGAGCACCAGTCTTTCCATTCTTAGCTGGTCTTGGTAACTTTCTGCACTGTTTTCAAATTTTTCTTCCACCAGCAGCTGGTAAGACTGACCAACCCACTCAACAGGGCAGCAGAGCAGCTGTCAGCAGCAGTCTGGCTGCACAACAGGTGGGTCACTTCTGTTTCCAAGAGCTCAGAAGCAGTCTTCAAGTGAAAAGCACAGGGAAAACTGCCTTTGTGACCATACCAACAGCTGGAACCGCAAAGGGTAGGTTGGGGGCTACAATGTATACTACAAAAATAGAGTTCAGCAGAAGTAGGGGAGTGATGGTGCCCCTGGACTCGGCACTGGGGAGGCCACAGCTTGAGCACTGGGGTCAGTTTTGGGCACCACAGGATCAGAAAGACCTTGAGGGGCTGGAGCAGGTCCAGAGAAGGGCAACAAAGCTGGTGAGGGCTCTGGGGAACATGGCTTGTGAGGAGTGGCTGAGGGACCTGGGGATGTGTAGTCTGGAGAAGAGGAGGCTCAGGGGAGACCTTCTGGCTCTCTACAACTCCCTGACAGGAGGCTGGAGTGAGGTGGGGGTTGGTCTCTTCTCCCGAGTAACCAGTGATAGGACAAGAGGAAACAGTCTTAAGTTGTGCCACGGGAGGTTTCAGTTGGATATGAGGAAGAATTTCTTTCCTGGCAGAGTGGTGAGGCATTGGCCCAGGCCGCCCAGGGAGGTGGGGAACTCCCCATCCCTGGAGGAGTTCAAAAAACATGTGGATGTGGCACCTGGGGACATGGTTTAGTGGTCATGGTAGTGTTGGGGTGACAGTTGGACTTGATGATCTTGGAGGTCTTTAATGATTTTAGGATTCCAATGTAAAATGGGTAACACCAGCAGAGGTGGGAACAAAACTGTGATTTCACACCCCCACAGCGAGAGCGAGAGACAGAGAGAGAGAGACTTTGAACCGATTGGGAGTTAAATAAAAATAAAATATATTGTTTAACAGGGAACAGAAAACAAAAAGGGAGGTAAAAATATATATAAAGATGGGGGGAATACAAAGTAAACATATACAAAACCTGAATCTCAGATGGCACAGGATTGCTCAGAACCACGTGGATGCAGGCACGTTGTGTTCTCCCCACCACAAAGAGAAAGAGCAGAGAGAGAGAGAGAGAGAGAGAAAGAGGCACCCACTTGCTACCTCTTTTAACGAGTGTGGAGAGGAAGGGAAGGGAATATACTCTTTTCCCCCGGGACCCTCCCAGGTTGTAAAAGATCACCTGCCCCCCCGCCCCAAGCCTCAAACCACAACAGGAAGGGCTAGGGCTGACACTCACAGCACCTAGAACTTTGTGCAGAGCTAGCTCTGGTTCTTGCTGAGGTTTGCCAATTCCCTCAGTTCCTTACAGCCTGTGTGTTTGCACCTGCAGTTGGCATTCCCTGCTCCTGGCCAGGCAGAGGCCAGCTTTTAGCACTCCCTGCTGTGCCCACCTCTGCTGGTGTTACCCATTTTACACTGGAATCCTAGAATCATTAAAGACCTCCAAGATCACCTGCCACCCCAAGCCTCAAACCACAACACTTCCCTAAATTCATACAGCAGGATAAATATGAAGAGCAGCTTTCCTTTCACATCATCTGTTTTTCAACCATGGGCAATCCAGCATCAATGCACTCCCTGTAGGAGGATCACACCCTTTCTTTCTGCTGTGACTCTTCACAAGGGGTGGACTTGAGCTGGTGTTTCATTTTCTGGAAATTGAATATCTGGTGACTGAGGAGGCAACTCATAATTTAGCAGCGTCCAGTTATTCCAGCAGTTGTTACATGAGAGCCCAGGGCCGTGACTCGGTGTGGCACATACCATCAGTATTTTCACATTGCACCAAAGGCTTCAGATGAACATTTGGGTGTTCACCAGAACATGCTGAAAAGTGTCAGGGGAAGAGATCTTGAAAACAAATCCCTCATTCCACAATCTGAGTAGGAAGGCCTCAGCCCCAAATTCACCCCTGAAGAAAGCCCTAGAACTAATAGTGCCCATTTTTTTAAGCTCTGATTCTGACAGCTCTGCAATGGTTTCTGTTGGATCAACTCCTGAATAGTCTTTCTGCTCTTCCTTTAAAAGCCAAGCCAGCTTCCTCCACCAACCAACACGCCAACCACAGTAAAATTGCAAAAAGTGGGTATTTTTGCAGAGGTGGTGGGAGATTCCCTTGGCTAGAGAAACTAAAATGAGCCAGTTCCTCAGCAGAGTCAGGACCAACAAAGCTTTTTGGAAGTTCAGAGAGAGAAAACAAAACAAGGGTGGTTCATCTGGAAAGCACCAAGAACAGAAAAAACAAACCTGAAGTTGCACTGGCTTCCCCACACCTTTCTAGTGCTGTGGCCAACACATGGGACATTTGTAGCCCTGCCCAGCCCACGGGCAGAGCAGATAAACTCCAAGAGCAATGAACGCCAGGGGCTGTTCCAGTCTTACCTTTGGGCACAGATGTCGCAGCACTCACATCTGGGCTTGCTTCTTGTTTCTGGCTTACGTTACCTGGAGGAGTGAGAGTGGAAATGAAGCAGTTACTGCAAGCATCCTGCTCTTGAAATCCGGGGTGCTGCTGACCAAAGGCACAGAGCGTGCAGCTCACAACACACAGTGGTACAAACCAAGGCTTGGTATAAGGGTTCAGGCAACACAGATGGGTTTCAGGCTCCTCATCTGATCTTTTCCTTTCAGATGGCTTTAAAATACAGTTAACCACTGCTTTCAAGGGAGGAGTGAAACAACTTTCCTCTATGATATGTACAAATTAGAGCATGGGTGGCTTGGGCTGATCTAAAACCACACCACAGCCAAAAAGGGAAACCCTACTCCTCCCTGTTCCTGCAAGGGAGGTATTTCTTTGACAAAACCATTGCAGAGTCAGCTGGCAGCTCAGTCAAGGGCCTTTTCTGACACACTGCACAGTTCAAGCTGCCTCAAACCCCCACTCAGCACAGACAGCCCCACAGACAACATTCACAGAGCTTTAGAGGGAGATTCTGCTCATGCCAAATAGAGTCCACATACCACCAAGACTCTTCTGTCCAGATAAACCTACACCTGAAAGCGTCGCTCTGCAAAACCAGATGGGAAGTCTTTACCCACTAATCCCTCCTGCCGCCACTTCCAGCATTTCTGAGCTGGGAGCACAGGCCAGTACTCTGGCATTTCTAGCTCTAGCATCGGCACAAAGCAACACACAACAAGGCTACAAATGGGCACACATGCTACACCACAGCCTCATGCAAAATCCATGCGACAACTCAAATATCTTGGCTCTTGCCTGGAGTGCCAGGTGAAGCAAAGTAAGCTAGTTCTGGTGCTGGAAGACTCCATCCTGCCGTTTCTCCACCACTCATGCCAAGCACTGCTTGGGCTGCCTCAGGTTGGTTTTAGCCCTCATCAGTTCTCCAGTCTCGTTCAGCATGCAGACAGAAACTCTCCTCCCTAGGAGTCACTTTGACTAAGGCAGTCTAGTGGTTCTCTTGCCTAATCTATGATGGCTTCACCACTCTATTGCTGTATCATCCTCCTCCAAACCACCAAACTCCTGCCTACACCCTTGGAACAGCCCCTGCACCACACAGCTCTGCAGAGGGTCAGAGTTAACAGAAAGCCACTCCTGAAGCAGAACCAAAAGCAATTAATCTTCAAAAAGATCAAGGATGCTAAACTGTTAACTCCATGGTCAAACCAGCATAAGCCAACTCTGAAACCCTAGGAGATAGCTGCTTTTAGACATGCCACAGCATTAAAAGGCTGGAATCTGTTTCTGCTTCAGTCCTGAGAGAAAGTCCACATCAGTCCTTGCTTCCTGCTGTTTGTCTGGTCTTTCCCCCATTTCACCTCTGCAACAGAACTACCAGACTGATGCGAATAATGACAAGTTGCTGCAGGCAGGATGTGAAGGACAGCACAGCTCCAAAAGACTCATCCTGTAAGACTTGTGTTAACAGAAAAGAATTAACAGCCAGACAAAGGAACTCAGTAAGGGAGAGGCACAGGGTCACTGGTGCTTGCAGGCTTTCCTAGAGGGGAGCACGTGCACGCTGTGTGTACGGTTAAAACTGCAACATGCTGTGGACAGACCACAATCTTTACAGATCACATTTCTCTCAAGCCACTGCCACCAACAGCTAACGAGAGATATGGGGAAGTGGTTTCCCTGGGGTATATTTTAAGACTTCTGTACTTCTTGCCTTTCTGGATCACGACAATAAAAATGAGCAATGAAAAATCCATGAAAGAAAAAGGCAGTCTTTCTTTTCTTCTTCAAAAAAATCTACCAAAACATTCATCTCGGCTTTATTGGAGAGGGGATGCACAATTTTTATTTGGCTTGTCCTTTTTTATCTCAACTTACATTTCTAAGCCAAAAGTTGCACTTACACAAAAAAAATACCACAATAACTTTCAGCTGTTTCAAAACCTTCTTTCAAGAAACCTGGAAGAGAAAACTTTGTAAAATAAACTTTCTCAGCAACAAATAAAGACTGAAGTTGAATATTCTGATTAAGCAAATCATTGCCATCAAGAAACTCTTGATGTTTTATCAATGTTTCCAATCAATGTTTCCTCCCTCAGAGCTCAGCACACCTTTTTCCCTGTATTTCAGACTCAATTAGTGTCTCGAGGACACTATTTTCTCTCTGGGCAAAGTGACTTTACTGGGGAATCCAGATGATATGACCACACAGTTTCCCAAAGGGTCCACAGAACCCTCCATCCTCAAATCAGACCAATTCTTATTGAAAGGGTGAAGAAAGTGCCCACTGACACCAGAAAGGCAGAGGGGTGGTGAAAAAACACATCTGAAAATGTCAACTATTGCTGTTTGCTGGCAACAACTCTTTTTGGGAGGATCCTACTCTAGAGATTACAGTGAAAGACAGGGTGAACCAGAAGGAAGGGCAGATCATTTTTTAAACCAAGTGGCTTGGTTAGAAAGGCTCGTAGCTGCTACCTCTCACTGATGAGGCACTGACCACACAAGTGAGGGCACTGCTGGTCTCACTGGTGTGTTGGTTCTGCAGGGTCAAGGTGTTGGCTGTGTCTGGGGATGGTCAGAGGAAGCTGGCCCCATCCCCATTACCTTCTCCAGCAGAACTGATGAGCAGTATCTCCAGGTCCAGGGGCAGGTCGCACTCCATGCAGAGGTACTGTGCAAACTGTTTCCAGGTGGCAGGGCCAGCCTTCTCCACCAGGTCAAGGAGAGCCGAGACTTTGTCTCTGTGGTCTGTGATGCTCTCCAGGCCACTCAGGGCCACCCGCGGGAGGAAGCGCTGGGAGGTCCTGATCAGCCAGTTGGGACGGTGGCTGAGGAACTCCACGAGCTGGGGGCGGGCACTTGCTATGGCTGCTTCCAGGTCTAGATCATTGTTCTGAAACGAGGGCTGGAGGGATGAAACCAGAAAGGGTATCAATACACACAGGAGTGAGAGGTGTTTGCCCACACAGCCCTGCTGTTGAGCAGCCAGCATACCCCTTGATGACTTCCACCTGCTTTTCTACCCCTTGGTGTAACCCAGAATTTCTTTCCTGCCTTACTCTCACAGCATCGTGTGGCAAAGCCCAGACCAGACATGACACGGTGCAAGGACTGCAGCGTTTGTCCACACAGTGCTCAACACAGCCCCAAGTGCCTCCAGAGACAGGAGCAGACACCAGGAGTCAGACTGTGTGGCATCAGCCAGGGAGCAGCTCTGCTGATGTCTGCGTCACCGCAGTGGCCCTTTGGCAAACAGAACATCTCAGGCATCCTTTACATGCCACAAGACCTCTGGGGAGGCGTGGGGCTCTAAGAGCCAGACACTTCCCTGCACAGAAGGCTCGGGCAGTTCTTATTGCTGCTCATTTTGTGGGGATGAGCGACTTGCTTCTGCTTTGGTGACAACGTCACCCTCCACTTCCACTTCCTTCCTACAGCAAAGCCATGAACATATGGTCTCCTACCTGCATTGTTGTGTGGTCAGCCTCCTTTCAGCTGTCAAGTGCAAAGGTCGTTTCTGCTCCATCCTCTGGCGAGGAATTGATCTGCTAACGGCAGCATTTCAGCACCCAGGGACAGCCTGGGTGCTGCCTACATGGTGCATGCCTACATGGTGCATGCCTACATGCAGTTGCCTCACTCAGTGCAGATGCCTGGAGATAACAGCAGAGCAGGTTGTAGATATGGGAAGGCATGGGCAATGGCACAGGTCACACATCTAGAAGCTCCACCTTTAATCCCAGGGTTAGCTGTGGACCTTTTCAACTCCAGGTGGTAATCTCAACTCATACCAACAGGGACCACAGAGTTTGGACATTTGAGGATAAGCCACTGGTGTGGTGACAGTGCAGGACTGAACCCTGTCCCCTAAGATGCAAACAAAGACAGGCTTTACAGGAACACTTCAAGGGAATCGCAGCTTTCCTGCTGTCACTGCCTGACTGGAGTTGGTCTTCTGTAGTAACTTGCTGCTCTTATCCCCTCCATGGAAGCTGATGCAGCAGCATCTTAAGTCAGGCAGTCAGTCACACCAGAAAAACTGTGCAAAGCTGATCCTTGAGGTACGAAGGGAGAGCCACCCTGCAGGAAGACCTGGACAGTCTGGAAAAGTGGGCTAACAAGAACCTAGTGAAGTTCAACAAGGACAAGTGTAAGGTCTTGCACCTGGGAAAATATAATCCAGGAGTGCAGCACAGTCTCTGATCTACCTGGCTCTCTGCAAAGGGACCTGTGGGTCCTGGTGGACAACAAACTCAGTGAGTGAACACTGTGCTGATGCAGCAAAGAAAGGATGCCGGGTCGCATCAACAAGGGCATCACCAGCAGAGACAAAGAAGTCATTATCCCACTCTACTCAGCACTGGTTAGGCCACCCCTGGAACAGTGTATTCAGTTTTGGTCCTTGCTATACATAAAAGATGAGGAGAGGCTGGGGAGGGTGCAAAGAAGGGCCACAAAGATGATCACAAGACTGGGAAGCTGCCACGTGAGGAAAGGCTAAGAGAACTGGGTTTGTTCAGCCTTGAGAAAAGAAGGCTGAAGGGAGACCTTATCCCCACGTTCCAGTAGTTCAAAGGTGGGTACACAGAAGGTGGAGGCTCCCTTTTTACAAGGAGTCCCATAGAAAAGGCAAGGAGCCATGGGTCCACGTTACTCCTGAGGAGATTCCAACTGGATCCAAGAGGAAAATTTTTCTCAGTGAGAGCAATCAGCCATTGGAATAATCTCCCCAGGGAAGTGGTGGAGTCCCCAGCATTGGACACTTTAAAGATTCAGCTCGACAGGGTGCTGGGCCACCCTGTCTAGACTGTGCTTTTGCCAAGAAAGGCTGGACCAGATGATCCTTGAGGTCCTTTCCAACCTGGCATTCTATGGTTCCTACAGAGCCAAGGGAAGAACTCAAAACAGAAGTGGAAGGCAGAAGAGTGCTCTGATGGAAAGAGCCAAGAGCCTCCCACCTGAGCAGAGACAGCTCCTAATTCATCCAAAAGTTACGCTCGTGCTGGAGTGATCTCACAGCAGCACCACACCACTGCTGGAGCATACTGCATGCAGAGAACATCACCTCCTCACATTGCTGTTGGGCATGGCATGCACACAGAAGCTGGAGACAAAACTGAAAGCAGACAGCAGGCTGCAGAACTGGAGGTAAAAATGCTCAGGATATGTGTCCCTCTCCTGTTTCAGAGGATACCCCATCAACCAGCAGTGTTCTCTATCCTCTCTGTGCTGCCTCTTCAAACAGCCTTGGATGTTTAGAGATGGAACTAAATTAATGCAGCAAAGGGATGTGAGCTGCTCAAGTGCTACAGCAGCAGACTGGATGGGCACAACCTCATCAGGCTCTTCTGTTCCTGCACTCCAGAAGCCAAGAAGACATCAAATAAGAGCAAAGCTGATGATATTCTACACACTTTTACTAATCTATGACTCTTCAGATCAAAATCACATCAAGATTGGTTAACATACAGCATCAACATATCCTGTTATAACACAGTATCAGTGCAAGAAGGACTTTACCCAGGTTCCCATTCCAGATCAGGCTTTCAGGATGCATTACATAAAAAGCGAGGCAGCTCTGGGATGCATCAAAATGTGGGCAAAACCTCTAGTTTGTACAAATTCCCTAATGCCTGGCACCTGCTTTTCTACCAAGAACAGCAAAAAAGTTCCTGGTGAAATGCTAAGAAAATTTGGTTTAACTAGGATCAGTTTTCTCCTTGGGCTGTTTCCATGATGCCAAAACTTGAAACTCTGAACCATACTGGAAAGGATTCTGCAAGCTTCCATTTAAAATGTTTCCCTAGGAAATTAATTTTGCATTCTTATTCATAAAAATAAAGAATGCTAATAGTCACACAAGCATTAAAAAGAAAAGAAACAAAGTTTCAATTAACTGGAAAGCCTAAAAGAAAGCATTTAAATCTGTTAACAGGTACTCCATTACTTTTTTCCTCTCTCTTCACCAGCAAATGCTCCAGCCACACCTCCCAAGTCACACAAAGCAAAGGCAGGAACTGAGAAAACGAAGAACTGCCCGGACTAGAAGATCAAGTGTGAGATCATCCAAGGAACCTGAAGGTGCACAAGTCCATGGAACCTCATAAGATGCATCCATGGGTCCTGAGGGAACCGGTGGATGAAGTGACTAAGCCACTGTCAATCACATTTGAGAAGTTGGGGCAGTCCAGTGAAGTTCACTCTGACTGGAAAAGGAGAAACTTAACTCCTGTTTTTAAAAAGGAGAAAAAAGGAAAACAAAACCTCATGAAGTTCTACAAAGTCAAGTGCAAGGTCCTGTAGCTGGGTCTGGGCAGTCCCAAGCACAAACACAGGCTGGGCAGAGAATGGATTGAGAGCAGCCCTGAGGAGAAGGGCCTGAGAGAGTTGGTTTACAAGAAGCTCAACGTGACTCAGCAACGTGTGCTTGCAGCCCAGAAAGTCCCAACCATATCCTGGGCTGAACCCAAAACGGCAGGGACAGCAGGTCAAGGGAGGGGATTCTGCTCCTCTACTCTACTCTTGTGAGATCCCATCTGGAGTATTGCATCCAGCTCTGGGGCCCCCAGCACAGGAAAGACATGGACCTATTGGAGTGAGTCCAGAGGAGGACCACAAAGATGATCAGAGGGCTGGAGCAGCTCGTCTGCAAGGACAGGCTGAGGGAGTTGGGGCTGTTCAGCCTGAAGAAGAGAAGGTCTCTGGGAAGACCTGCTTGCAGCCTTCTAGCATCTAAAAGGGGGCCTACAAGAAAGCTGGAGAAGGACTTTTTACAAGAGCATGGACAAGAGTTAATGGTGTTAAACTGAAAGAGGGTATATTTAGATTAGCTATATGGAAGAAGTTCTTTGTGGTGAGACACTGGAACAGGTTGCCCAGTGTGGATGCCCCATCCCTTGAAGTGTTCAAGGCCAGGCTGGATGGGTTTTTGAGCAACCTGGTCTACTGGAAGGTGTCTCTGCCCATAGCAGGCTGGTTGGAACTAGATGATCTTCCAACTCAAAACATTCTATGAGTCTATGATTCCAAATTTAAACAAACTGCAAAACAAACAATTTCCCAGTAGCCTGATCAGTCAACCTTTAGAGACCTCCATTTTACATTTCTCCAGCCAAAAAAAACCCAGAAATCTGTAGACAGCAATACCCTGACCTTATCCCCACAACAGCCAAGAACTACCTACTTCATTGCACCTTAGTAAATAAATTAATTAATTAAAAATCAGACCTTAATGCCAATGAAGACTGAAAGCCATTCAGGCAAAGACTAGATTTATATGACTTATTGAAAGACTTCTATTCAAGAACAAAACAGCACTGAAAAGTTACATGAAAGCTCAGGTGATAGTGCACAGCTCCTACACTACTAATGCTCTGTTAAATAAGACCATCAGGAATGATTGGCAGCAACCTACAGTAAAATGCCTCTGAGTTTGAAACAAAGAACAAAAACCTCACAAGAAGAGCCAGGGGACTTTTGAGCTTTGACCCTTGCCGTCATGCTTCAAATGCGGGAACACCATTAAAACATACTCCAAAGGCACCTCGGCCTCCCTCCCCAGTTCGGCGTTCATGCTTTCCCAGCCACAAAAAATAAAACTGAAATGTGAAGCTCCCTGTTGCAAATCTATCACCTTCTCACATGCTCTGAGGAACACACTGCTTACCAAAAGCCGAGAATCAGAGCAGCAGCACCAAAACCAAGAGGAGGTCACGAAAAAAAGAAACTGAGGGACAATATCCACTGCCTTCATTTCTTCACCCACCGCTCTCCCGAGGCACACAGTCCTTCAGTGCCTTTTGGGACCCGATGAACAAAAGTGAGCAAAACGAAAGTAATACGAGCCAGGAAATCCCCAACTGCAATTCATCTGTGGTAAAAACAATGAGATGTGCAAAAATCCCC